CGTCGACGTCGACCTACGTACACCCGTACCTACCACGTCGACGTGTGTGTGTGTGTGTGTGTGTGTGTGTGTGTGTGTGTGTGTGTGTGTGTGTGTGTGCCTGTATATGCGTGTATGTGCGTGTATGTGTTTGTGTGTGTATGTACGTGGGTGTATATATGTATGTGTGTGTATGTGTGTGTATGTGCGTGTATGTTTATGTATGTATGTATGTATGTGTGTGTGTGTATGTGTATATACATGCATGTGTGTAACGTGCGTGGTCATTTCCTTTGGGACGCATATGTAGAAGTCCTTCCTGGGATGGATGGCTGTGGTGATGTCTGGTGTTTGTGTATCAATTGGAGAGCATTTGGGTGAGCCACGGCTGTGTGCGTTGGTATGAGATGTGGTTCCTTTACCAAGGGCACCTGTCTGAAACCATTGTGTGTGTTACCCTAGACACTAAACTCTAAACTCTAAACCCTAATACCCCCAATAACCCCTTTTACCGCTATACGCCTTCCCAGGAATACGTTTTTGTACGAGTATATGTGTAAGTTAGTACTCAGTGATAAACGTTTATGTATATGTCCCTCACCAGCTCACTATGTGGCTGGAAGTGTTTGTGGTGTTGAGTTGTACTTCTAAAAACACTGCAGTCGCGCGTCTAGGCCGCCAATTGGTATCGGCCAGAATCAGCACATGTTTTAGGGTTTTAGCTAAAACCCTAAACCCTGAAACTTTAAAACCCTATCCTCACGGCCCTTCTGAGTAGTAGTATTTGGCCCTGTAGCCTGTGTACACCACTTAGTGACTGTAGCTGCTGCGGCTGCGTGCATGCGAGAAGATATCTAATCCACAAAGACAAAACAACGCACCCACCACTACCGCATCTTAGAGAGCACTAAATAGACATCATATACACTCCAGTGAGAAAGCACACGCCCAGATGGGATTGCAATCGGCTGACGTGGTTGATGCGCTTAATATGGCAGCAGTTGTTAGCCTCACAACAGTTGGTTTGTTGTTGCCACGTTTCAGCGCATTGTATATTGGTTACGCGCAGATGGCGTGTACGTAGGTCACTTACTAACTTATCTTAAACCACTCGACTAGGCATGTACGGGAGGCTGATGCCGCAGATCTGGATGACGATTTGATGGAAGAGAAAGTAAGTGTTCTGCCCTGATATCAAACTGAATGTGAAGTATCAATGCTTTAGGTTTTAGGGCTTTAAGGTTTTAGGATTGGGGTTGTTTGTATACGTGTTCGCGCGTACTCGCAAACATGCTGTGTTCAGTTAAAACTCGCGTGGAGATGTGCATGTCCAACACTTGCATTTAATGTGCTGTAGAGTTGATGATTGCTACACTCGCATTGAATGTGCTATAGATTTAATGTTTGTGTAGCATCGTCGGGTGAAGTGTTGCAATGTATTCTAACTTTAATCGCATTTTCTAACACCCTGTGATAGGAATTTGCCGAATCAATGTTGACCGAGTTGATCCCTCTGTTGCCACACAACGACCCCAAGACACTGAAGTTCGTGGCGGAGGTGAAAAGGATACTACAGGATGTACAGAGTGCCGACGACCAGTTTGCCATATCCACATAGTCACATACGATAATACATGCAGGTCACGCACAGGATATATATGTAGCATCAAACGATGGTACATGTGTGCCACATTTAAGAGCGTATCTGAGGCATTTTCAGATTAAACGCCCGTGATAAATAGGTATGATAAGATTTGATGCGTGTGTGACAAATGGGAATGATAAGCTGAGATGTGCCTGTGACAGATATAAAAGGGTATATTCCCATAAAGCTCTGCGCTAAGGGCGAGTCCAAACGAACAAAGATGTTTTTCGGTCAAGACTAAATTAACCATGAGCACCAATGAAAACAGACTGACTATTGCGAGCAATAATGAGTGTGTAAAAGCCGTAATCCGCTTTGTTCCTTCATTCTCGTCGTCGTCAGCTAAATCCATACAAGAGTGATTGTCGGAATCTTCAGCCGTCATGCACCCTCTTTACCAATTCCTGAAACTCATCATCATAATCTTGTCTATTTGAGTCTTTTATCACATCTGCTAATTGATACAAATTTGGTCCCATGATCTACGAAGCTTTCGTCTATTTCGGATATTGAATCTGTATTGCGTGCAACCCTGTCCTCTGCTTCGCAGCCCAATTCATGTTCATCACAATAACCGAACAGAACAAGCTTCTGTTTGCCGAACTTTTGGCTGCCTCCTCATCGCTTGATATCATATTATGACGTATATACTGTACATAGTATGTAAGTCGTATGGTAGTCAAGATGTACATTCTTTGAACAAGTATAAAAAGCCACAAAACAACAGTTACACGCACACACACACACACACACACACACACACACACACACACACACACACACATATATATATATATATATATTA